GTGATTCATAAGTGTTGGTAAAGCACTGCTGAAATCTGGGATGTATTTACTACCATTGTTTAGACATCCTAAAATGAGACTTTCAATTGGTTGTGATAGAATGTATGAAAAGATAGCACATTTCTTACTGGCAATAGCATTTCTTTGGAATTGTTAGGGAGGAAGCTGGAAGCAAAACAATTTTCAGAAATATAGGATTCCAGCACAAATCCAATTTTTAAAGTGTCTTTAGCACCATAGAATATAAGTCACAGAGTAAAAGTCGGAGAACCTTGTATTCTCTGCTGTTGATATAATGGTGTTGTCTGCAATACCAAAACTCCTACTATGTTCTGAATTCAGAAGTCACTTAATTTCACCCACTTTACTGCGAGAACCTGTCATTCTTACTACCCTAAGGCTAACATAATGTTTCAGAGATGCATTATGGGAACTCTTCACTCTCTGAAGCCCCAGTTATGGACTGTTGCTTCAGGGAAATGAAGAGCTTGGTGTAGGTGTTCCTGCTAGACTGAAAAACTTTGTGAATTTCCTATCCATATGTAGTATGCACTCCCCCGAGTGCCAGTTTTGTACTAATCTCATTAATTTTTTTGCAGTTATAAAAGTAAGAAAGTCTAGAGTAAAATACGAAAGGCCATTCATTGTTTTTCCATGATGACCATTTCAGACCATTAGAAATATGAAAGGCTAACAACCTGATGTGTAATAGTATTGCACGGAAGCTCCAATTTGAACATATGTGCCTATGAGAGTTTATATTTACCATTATTCTGTGTGAGGCAGAATTAGAACATCATTGAGGTAACCTACACAACCTATGGAGGAAAATCAGCATTTGTGTTTTATCTCTGTGTATAGACCCATCAGAGGTTGAAAACTCATAACCCATAGACATATTTTGTTTGCCTTATCCACTGTTTTAAGTATATATGAATTGGCTGTCACAGAGTATTTCACATAAAATATGAGCTCTGATGAATCTTGAATAATAGGGTAACAGGGGACCCTGAAGACAATTCCCACTAGGCAGGAGTTGGTTGGAGGTGAGTAGTAGCAGCACTATAATGACACCCCCATTTTCCACACCCTAGCTGTTCCCTCTTGGTTTAATCCTGGCCAGCTATCCTTATTTGTATTACCTGCTTGTCCCTGTAGAGATTTGCAATGCCAATCACTGGGTATCAGATTTGATAACTAAAAATTATCAAATAAATTTTAGATAATAAATTGTCTAAACCAGGATACTTTGAAAGTAAAAAAAGGATACTATTAATAATTACATCATGACCATAGGCATAAACTAGGACCATCCCAGGCAACCTCTTCTTTCTTCTTCTTTTTTATTTTAATGAAAAAGAAATAAAAACAATGGTATGGAATTTGAAAATAAGATTGTAGGAGAGTAATGATGGTTAGTACATTGCATATTATTATTTTCAAAGTAGTTGCACCTATTATAAGCTATAGGCATGAAAACTTGATAAAACATAGGCACACACTTTTCTTTCAATGAACTAATATCAATTAGTAGTATAACTATCCTACTGTTTGTTTTGTATATATGTATATATATACATACATATATTTTCTCCTTTCCCCCATCCCAGTTTCTCTTTCCTTTGAACAGCTTCTTTTCACTTCATGTTATCTATTGTACGTTCTGAATCTGTTTATTTTTCTAACTTACACTGAGATAATATGATGTTTATACATGTGAGTCTGATTTATTTCACTTAGGAATATGGTCTCATGTTGCATCCATTTACCTATAAATATCTCAAGTTTATCCTTCATTATAGCTGAGTAGTACTCCACTGTATTAAAATATCAACTTTTTATCCATTCCTTGGTTAATGGACATTTGGGTTGTTTCCAAGATTTAGCTATTACAAATTATGCTGCTATAAACATGGGTGCAAATGTATCATTGTGGTATGATGTTTTTAGTTCTTCTGGGAAAATACCCAGAAGTGGAACAGATGGCACAAATGAGACCTCTAATCCTAGTTTTTTGAGGAATCCCACCCTGGTTTCCATGGTGTTTGTACCAGTCTGCATTCCCACCAACAGTGCAGAAAGGTTCTTTTTTCCCGTTGCCCCTCCAATTTTTTATTGGTTGATTTCTGGGTGAGAGCCATTCTTATGGGGGTGAGATGGAATCTTAGTGCTTTCTTTTTTTGGTACCAGGAATCAAAATCACAACCTTTCTCTTGCCAAGCAGATGCTATGCTACTGAGCTATATCCCCGACCTTCTTCTTTCTTCTAATGAGAAAATTGAGACTTACAAAGAGGAAGTAACTTGTCTGTGCCAATCAATAAGTAAATTAATGAAAAAACCTTCCCTAAGCTACCTTGATTCCCAGTCTATTACTTTTTCCAGCATAATGTGATGTATATAATATGTGCAAATGATTCTCCTATTTGAATTTATGGATTTTTATAGTTAATAATTACTATATAATTGATATCCTGTGTATCTTATATCAATGGCATTTTATTAGTGATCTAAAAAATGATCTAGAGATGTTTAAAATATTGGTAAACCTGAAAACTAGAGTAAACACAAAGCTTCTCATTTAACTAGATACGAGACATTTAGAAGTTCTAGAGATAGAAAAACAGTTTATAACAAAAATCTCCCATCAAGCTGGGCATGGTGGCACACACCTATAATCCCAGCATTAGGGAGGTTGAGGCAGGAGGATCATTGGGAGTTCGTGACCAACTTGAGCTACAAAGTGAGCTCAAGGCCAGCCTGAACTGCATAGAGAGACCCTGTCTCAAAAAAGAAAATCTCCCATCAAGTGAGTATATGATACCTGGTTTGCCCACAGCATACACTGACTTCTTGGGCACTGGCACTTGTGAAGTAATGAATACTAATTATGTCTTCAAGAGATCTCCAAGATCCCACATTCCAAAATCTTTGACCAGCTATGTATTGCCTTGTTGAATTTCCAAGAGATATTTCTACAGAGCGTACTCTGGATGAAACCAACGCATTATTCTTGATCATTTGCTCAGATGTGATCCCAAACCCTCATCTAGCTTTCTACTCTAGGGGACTTTGTGAGCCTTGAGGGCACCTCTTAGCTTCTTGTGAAGGCTCAGACCAAAAGCCAGCCCAAGCAGTCTCCCTGTCTTCAGGGTGTCTTTCTCCAATACCTCTCGTGGCTCTCACTTGTCCTCCTACGGGACCTTATAAGAAGCAGAGTTGGCCTGAGTCACCAACTGTTTCTCTGGGAATATACTCTTAGCTTTCCAGGTGTGGTACCGTCACCCATGAAGGTGACATGGCTGGGACTCGTGTCACCATTTAGCCTCCTATAGATGAGGAGGGTCAGGGAAAGGTAAAGTGACCAATGATCTCCTTTACCCCACACTAACTTCTTACCCCAACTGCAGCATCTTCCCTAGTATCCTGGAGGCGTCCTTGTCCTTTGACCTTTGTCAGAGCCTCTGTTCTGTGGGATGCCTTAAGAGAAGGGACCAGTGACCACATCTGATCCTTATAAGTCTTACATAGGTGACATTTTCTCCACTGTACCTCAGCAAACTTTAACAGAAAATAATGGATTCTAAATAAGTCAAATCTGTGAATGTATATATTTTGTTTTTATATGGAAATAAGGCTATGAATGACTGTTTGAAAATGTAGATGGTGGATTCTTGTTGTATTTTCCCCAATCTGGACAATTAGCACTTCTAAATATATCTCTTGTTGTATCTGGTTAAATGAGAAGCGTTGCTTTTGTTTACTCTCTATTACTTTCAAAGCTACCGATGCTTTAAACCTCTCTTAGTGTTCTGTGCTCCAAATAATTAATTAGACTCCTGTCACTGATGATATAAGCAACCAGTTTATAGGCCTAGAGCAGTGCTGTCCAAAAGCTATGTGTGCCCACTGAGCCCTTGAAATGATACTGTGTGATATTGATAATGATAATATTGATACAATATAAGTAAATAGTACTAAATTAATTTTATGTTTTCTTTGGCTTTCTTAATGTAATTACTAGCTAAAATTACCCATGTTGCTGGCTCTGTACTTCCACTGAAAGGAGAGAAGTTTGGCAGTAGTTTCCCTGGAACTTACTAGTTTATTAGTGAGGCTTCAATGTGGTAGACATAGCATAACAGGCCTTGATATTTACCTTGACAGAAGAATGTGGTGAAAGAATCAGAATGTTTTTCTATAAGTTAGGCCAGTTTCTAAAAAGACTCCTCTCCTCTCCCTCACCTCCCCCAGTGCTTTATTTCCTGCATAGCTCTTTGCCTCCCAGAACCTCTGAGGGGCACCTGTTCTGACACCAGCTTTAATCTTCTGTGCCATATCACGCAGAAGGCACTTGGGTGCACACAGTGCCAGCTGTGGGTACCATATGGAAAAACCATACCATCTACATATGTAGAGAGTATTTCTGAAGCCAGAAGGAGTGTAGAGGAATGTGTAACCGATGTAGCTTCATCTTCGCCTTGCCATTGAAAGTTTTAATCATTGAAATATCTTCAGGCCGTAAATAGAATCATGTAACAAGATAATTCTGAGTTAAAACCAAATATGTACTTTTGTTTTCATATGGACATAGGTCTGTGTATGAATGTATGAAAACGTAGACAGAACGTTTTCATACAGATGGGTTTGACTTGCAATGAAGTATATGGAGGATGTATGAATGAGCGGAGTTGGGGTATGTCAATCTGCTCAAGCAGAGCTTTTCATATGGAAAAAGAGATTTCCTCTTCCTGTAAATAGTTGGAGAATAGGTACTGTTTCTGCTTCCAACAAGTTTCAGTACAGACTCCACTTAGATGTCTGCCAAAGATTACAGAGAAGGTCTTGGACTGAGCTCAGCCTCAGTGATGTGCCTCTGATACCCCATTGAGCATGGCCCAAGAGCCCCATGTAGGATGTTACCAATGGGAGCCATGTTTCAGGCTGCATTTTCCTTTGGAGTAACCTCTTTCCTTCTTCTTTTCCTTCCACTTCTTCTAGGCAGGACAGGGCTGCTTGCTGATCTCTTGCCCAGTTTTGCTGTGGAGATTATGCCAGGTATTCAGTCATTTAACTCTTTATTTGCTTAATTTGCTATCATTCCATCTGTCTTGCTTTTGCATTAGTGACTAATTTCTTGTTTAATCTATTTGCACATTTGTCTATATATATATCTGTGATCTTTTGCAGGATGAACTAAGCCCATTGGAAAAGCTTTTAAATTGTATTCCTTCTGTTCCTAAGCCCTAAAATAATGATAATTAAACTTGCACTGAGTTAGAGACCTAGTTCGTCAGTGTGAGGCATTGTGGCAGTCTCCCTGCCTACCGAACTATTTCAGCTATACCCAGAGAGCTCCTTAGATTCTTAACAAGGCCATTATTTTTACATTTGCCTATGTATTATTATCCAATCACACGTTACTCTGAATAGCCTTTTTTTACATTATTAAAAATCTTTTTCAAACCTCAGGAAAGATACGTACTTCCCCCCCATTGAAAAATACACACTGAGCATGTGGTGACACAGGCTTGTCATCATAAAACTATGGAAGGTTAAGACAGGAGGATCACAAGTTTGAGCCCAGTCTGAAAAACTTAGTGAGACCCTGAGTCCTTTCAGGCCCCATAAATATATCAAGCAACCTGATCACAATACACAGCTCTATCTTTTGGTGTAGTGTCAGGTGGATACACCAGCCTAAACAAGCCAAGTTAGTTTGGTTCAGCAGTATATTTCACAATGGAAGGAGGCTCAGAGACAAGGCCAAAGTCAAAGATTAAGGAAGGTTGGGATTCAGTCTCATTTTAGAGTTTTTGCGGGATTTTAACAGCTTGCTAATAGCAGAAGAGAGATATAAAACATTCCTGGCCATTGGTTTTGACTTGGTTCAATTAAAAAAAAAAAAATCCAGAGTCTTCACAGTTGAACTTCACTAATTATTCATGCATGAATTCTTCTAGCACTTTCCCATTAGCTGGCCAACCCAAAACCAGACTTTTTTTTTTTTTGCCATTGCTTCCAAGGACACAAATAGATAGCTCTTTGTAATCCCCCTTGTCAAAAGTTCACTTAATTTGTAAGTATTTGCTCACAAAGCAAAACCTCACAAAAGCCCAGTGTTACCTTATGATGTTTCAAACTAGAAGTTACATCTCCGGAGGCTGTGAAGGAGTTATTCTATGTATCATATCTGGCTCTATCCACCTGAATTCCCCTCCCTTTGACTCCAAGAATATATATATTTTTTTACTCTAGAATCTTTTAGCACATAATATTCTTTTGACTTTCAAATATAACCTGCCAGACTTTTTTCCTTAAGTGCCTAACATAAATTGTAATCACTACGCCATACGGCTCACCAGATCTCCAGGATTGCACTCTGGGAAGCTGAGGCAGAAGGATCACAAATGTGAGCTGAGTGCTCGGTCTCGACAAGTAAATAAATGGAATGTAGGTCAGTGCAAAAATCCTGAGTTAAATCCCAGTACTAAACAAACAAAATAAAACAGCCCTCCTCCCCAGCTCACTTGCTCAGCCCTTCATGCAGAGAGGCTGACTAGCTTAATTGGAATGTATCTGGATGGATAAGTGGGGAGGGACATTCAGGGGACATAAGTTGTTTGCTTTCTCTTTGAGGAAATTATGTTCTAACCAAAGGTCAAGTGACTTTATCACAAAACCTTTCATGATAACAAAAATGTCATATTTTAAAGTTCCTAAATGAATGTCCATTTAACTGAAAGAAGACTTAATAACAAAAAAATTTTTTTAAAGTGTACTTGAAAGTCCTTGTAAAGGGGTGTTTTGACAGATGGCTTTAACTGAAGTGACTCGCTTTAGTCTTTTGGCTTTTAAAGGAAAGCAGGGCCCATCCAGCCAAGTCCATACTATGATATTGAGACAATTTGCGTGAGAGCCATAGTCATTTTTATCTAAGCCAAGTAAGATTTGTTGCCGTTCTCTTAATCTTTTGGATGGGCAAACGAAATGCAATTCATGTTCAGCCGCTGGCAGAGCTGTGAAACTAACAGAAGTTAAATCAACAGACTCAGCCACATACAGGTCATTTGTGTGACCATTCATCACAGCTCCAAGCCACGCTGGCCCATGGCTATGCTATGCTATCTGAGTGTCATGGTCAACTTGAAGATGCTCAAATCAATCCCGTTATCTGGGGTTGGGGACACTACCTTCTTTGTGTGAGACTGTGTCTCCAGTTTTCTAAAGCCATGCATAGCTATCCAGGAATAAACAAGAGTTTTGGATTTCAGTCCCAGTGCTGATCGCAGGGAAGGTTTGATCAGTAAAGAAACCAGATGAGTATGTGTAGAAGCTGCATCTAGACATGGAAACCCCTTTGTCAGCATTTACACTTAATAGGCAAGGTTAACTTGACTGTAAAAGGTAGATCTTTTTAGAGATACCACTGCATAGCCCAGCAGACAATGTAATGGTAGCTCTAAAAAGCCCATCAATCCCCAGCAGGAGCCTTTCCGCCCTTGTTTCACCCTATTCTGATAATGCAATCCATTTGGTAAACCTTTCCTCAATAAGGGACCCTGATATCCCCCACTGTTTTGTGCTGGTGGTTTTGTGCGCCCAGTTCGAGACCTAGGTAGCCATCTTCCCTCTTCCCCCCTTCTTTGAAGTGCTTCTCACACTTAGAGCTCCTCTGGTGCTTGGGGGCTGTGTTTCCCAGAAAGACCTGCTTTCTTCCCCAGGTCCTCCCTTGTCTCCTTTCAGACCGTGTCCTGTCCTGGAGGTGGGCCATCTCGAGTGTGAATTTCTCTGTGTTCCTGCAGAGTGGGTGTTTGTCGGCCTGGTGCTCCTGGGAGTCTTCCTCTTCTTCGTCCTCGTGGGGATCTGCTGGTGCCAGTGTTGTCCACACAGCTGCTGCTGCTATGTCCGCTGCCCATGCTGCCCAGACTCCTGTTGCTGCCCCCAGGCCTGTGAGTACAAGAAGAATCAGTGAAGAGATGGGGAGTGATTGGAAGAAATGTTACCTCTCCAGCTGACGCCATCCACACCGAGTTCCTCCTGCACCTCCTTTTCTTCCACCCCAGAAGTTGGTCATCCCAGAGCCTCTCCTCTGTGTGAGCCCGGGATGACTGCTTCCAGGATGACCATCTTGTTTTCATCCTCACCTACATGCACATCTCCATGCTCTCTCCACATCATTGCTCCTTGAATTCAAAATTCTCATGGACATTACTGCTCAAAGGAAGGGCAGGTCCAGATTAGTGAGGATGTGGGATAATAATTTTTCTTATTGTTGGGGCAGCCAAACTAGGACTGGTTTGCTCAACTGGTTGCTCTCTTCCCATGCAGAGAGCATCTTCTGTTAAACACAGTGTGCAGATGGTGGCCTTTGGGTACCTTCTAGCAAACACTGATAGCTTTATGTCCTTGTGTGATGAAATGGGCCCTACCATTTCACCTTTCTAGCCAGACCCATATAGGCATTACATTTGGCACCCTTCCCATAAGCCAGTCTTGGAAGAGAGAGGCACACTGTATACTCTTTGGTAATAAAGCAATATTAGCAGTTTTGAAATCAAGAGCCCGGGCTGTGTACAAGCCTGTTGCTTGCTGTACTTTTCCTGAAGAGGCTGCGGATCCCCCTGGAAGCAGCCCTGGGCAGCCCTTGTGCTTGGCCTGCTCCAAAGAGGTAGAGGCCACCTACATACAGTGTGAGTAAGAGTGGACCGCTGCTGTCACTGGGGATGCTGCAGTGACAGCTCCCAGAACCATGTAATTAGTGAGGTGCCAGGTGCCAAATACTGCAGTTCCGTATGTCTCTGCCTTTTGATGGAGCTGGAGGAGGCCAAGAGAGAATCCATGCAGTCCTAGGAGGGCGTGCATATGCCTAGTAGCTCCCCCAAGTATCTCCTCAGGGTGTTTTGGTTGAAGATTTTGGAGGGTGGGAAGACATAATCTCTTTTGCTCTTCATCTCCTTCCACAGTGTATGAAGCAGGGAAGGCAGCCAAGGCCGGGTACCCTCCCTCTGTCTCCGGTGTCCCTGGCCCTTACACCATCCCCTCTGTCCCTTTGGGAGGAGCCCCCTCATCTGGCATGCTGATGGACAAGCCGCATCCACCTCCCTTGGCACCAAGTGACTCCACTGGAGGAAGCCACAGTGGTAAATGTAGTTCTAGACCCTGCCCCGTGCTTGTCTTGGGCCCCCACACTGGTTCCTTGGTGATGAACACAGCCAGTTTAGTGAAGTGTCTTTGGGAAATGATGATCTCCATTCCAGAAGTAGGGCTCTGTCCACTGTGTACTTGAATCTTTGAAGTGCATATTAGGCTTTGCAAGGGTCGTGGGGGAAGTTGCTGATCCCTGCTCATTCCTTTCCAGGCTCCTCAGTAACTAAAACTACTGGAAAAATGCAATCTACTCCTTGATTGCTGACCATTGGTTAAATCGTTATCTCACCTCTACCTAGTGTTCAGGACTCTTACTAGGTACTGTGTGGGACACAAGGATGGGTAGAATGTAGTTTCTAACAAGCAGCATAGTCTAGTCAGGAAGAGAGAGTAGATCTTTAAGACAGTTAGAAGCTTAAGAGTATGATACTCAGAGTTCAAAGACGAAAGAGATGCAGTGGCTACCGGGAGGCACAGAAATTGAGGCTGTGCCTAAAATACTGCATAAGACTTAGGAAAACAGGGGGAAATGTTGGGTATCTCCAAAAAAAAAAAAGGAAGGCCAGTACAGTGAAATACCAAGCCTGGAAGAATGCAGTGTGAGCCTTTAGTAGTGTCCAACTTGTCAGAATGGCTGGAAGGAGATAGAACAATATCATGGAGCCAGATTACAGATGGCTTTGTAGCCCTGCAGAAGAAGTGGGGCTTTGTGGGGTGAGCAGGCAAAAGCCTCTCCAGGCAGATCCCCAGGCGGAGAAATGGCAGGATGACAGGTGAGTGGTCACTGAGAGAGAGTGGGCCTAAGATCTGATGGATGTGGTTCAGCTGTGTTACGTGACTGACTTATGGTGGAGAGAGCAGGGGAAGTACTTGGGTAAATCTAAGAGACAGTTTGAAAGAAGTGAGGAGGTGCAAGAGAAGGAACGGAAGGGAGGCTTTGCAGTGACTCCAGGCTGTCTAGTGGTACAGATCATAAACAGGAGTGAAATACTGCTGGGGAGAGCTGATTCGGGTGAAGATTAGCTCCATTTGGTGCTGGATAAATTTGTGCTGAGGTAAGGAAGACAGCAGGAGGGGCAGAGTGTGGTGGAGAGGTAGAAGGACACTAAAATACAGCTTTCCTGGGGCATTTGAGCAGGATTACAGGGTAGGTTTAGAGGGTGATGTTTAAATCCCTAGATGTGGATGAGCTAGTAGGGCTGGTGAAATGACTTGGAAGGACGTGGACTTCAGAGAGTGGAGGAGGGTCCAGCTCACTTAAGGAACCACTAGTAGCTGACTGTGGCAGGTGTGGCTGTCCTCAGTGAGTAATTGGTATTTATGTTTTTTTTCCTCCTGGAACTATTAGTAGAATTCTGACGTCTGAGACTAGGAATGACTCACAAACTGAAAAGTAAAAGTGAATGACCAATGACAGCCAGGGAGTTAGAAAAAGTCAGTACAGCTCATTCCCCAAAGGATAGAGTGGGCAAAAGAGACATTAATGAAACTTACCTTATAGTCTTTACATGCTGCTTTTGCTACTCTTCCTCCCCACCAGAATCCTTCATCCCCTTATTTTTTTATTAGTGACATCGTAATAAAATGATTCTTCTTTACAGGATAGCAAATGCTTTCTGTTTTCTGTTTCCAACCTTTTCTCCATTTCTGTTTTTGCAATTTAATCATTTTGGCACTATCTTGCCATATTAACCAGCTGTACTTGGAAGTTGCTTTGACAAGTAGAAAATGTATTATTTCACACACGAAGAAATTGCAAAGTAAAGTAGTTCTAGGGTTGGCTAAATGAAGAGGTTGGTAGCATTGCTACAGGACCCGCCTCTTTTCACCCTTGAACTGTTACCTGTCTTCCTTGGCTGGGTCCTCTGGTGATGCCTTGGTGACTTCAGCAGTTCTAGGAACTCAACGTTTTCAGAGATGGAGAAAATGCATCACACCCTTGTACTGCTTTCCCCACCAGTAAGGAAGAGTCTTCCAGGACTTCTTCCCCATCCACCAGACTTCTTGTAGTTTTATTGACAAGAATTGTATTCCATGTCCATTCCTAAATCAGATGGGTTTGAACTAATCAAGACTCACTTTTTAAATCTGGACAACTATTTGCCTTAGAAATGAACCAAGTCAGAGTACCATTAGCCAAGTAACACAGGAAAGATGGCAGCCAGTGTATAACACAGCTAGTCTGCCCTCATTCTGATTATCTGGTTGTGGGGCCGGGATAGAGTTCTTCATAGAACCCACAGGGACATTTCTGTACTCATGGTCCCCTGGACAGCATAAGTGATGGCATTTAGCTAATTTTCCTATTAAAAAGGTGGCTTAGGCCACTGTAGACTATTCAGTAAGGAACATAAAAAATGTTAAGAAATGCTGATAAAAATGTAAATGTAGCCTTTTTATATTTATATGCTATTTTAGTTTTAGGGTAATTGTGATAGTGATTTTTCAGATAACATTTGTGCACAATACTCTTTGAACACTGTGTAGTTTAGAAAGGCATTTTCAATAGGTTGTGTATAGTGTAGCCTTTTGTTTACCAAATGGGAAAGGAAGAAGAGGTTCTTTGATTCCTTCTTCCATTCTTCACAGCAGTTGCTCAAAACTTACTTACTTTCTTTCTCTTTCTTTATGTCTTCCTCCTCCTTCTGAGATTTTCCTTGTTATGAAAGAAAGTACTGTCCCCCTGCCTTGGATCCATCACCTTCGACTTTGTTAAACTTACATTCATACTGTACCCAATTTCCATCTCATATCTCCAATTTTTCCTTCTTTTACAAACTCTTTCCTATCAGCATTCAAAACACACTCAAATCTCACCCATTAAAATACAACAATGATCTGTAGAAAATTCTGAAATCTTCTAATGTTGCTTCCCTGATCCTGTTCCACACTCACTGCCAAACTCCTTAAAAGAACTTTGAGGATTTAATGTCTCTCTTTCTTCTGCTCTGACCAACTCCCCAACTAACTTCCATCTTTCTCTTGCTGTTAGGACTCCAGCTCCAGCCAAGGTTGCCTGATTGCTAGATCTAATGGATGCTTTTCAATCTCCACCTTCTGTGACTTCTCAGAAGCATTTGCCATCCCTGTTCTAATCATTTTTCCTTGCTATCCTGTACTTGTAATCTTCTGTTTGTCTGTTGATATGCTGGCTGTTCCTTTCCTGAGTCCTTCAGATATTTGTGTTCCTGTTTGGTCTGGAATCTCCTCTCTGGGAAATCCTGCCTACTTCCATGGCTTCTGTCCTCTTCTACAAAGTATGACAGAATATTATGGTTATGTGTTTAAATTTTTAAAAATTATCACATTAAAAGGCACATTGCCATTAACCACTCCCAACATATTCCCCCTCACTCCTAATATATTATCCTATTGTTTTTGCCATTTCCTAAAGCAGTTCTGGAAGTCCTTTTCCTTGAGTGTCTTTAATTGCTCCGTCCTGATGTCCTGAATTGATTAAAAATATTTACTTTTGTTGGTCACTTTGACTTTGGAGAACAGCCAGAAGTCACATCGTGGCAGATCTGATAAACAAGATGGCTGAGGACACACTGAAATGTTTTTATGAATCTGCCTTTCCATTGGATGGCACTCATCAGCAGCATTTATATTTTTGATCAGACTTCTTAGAAATGACTTGCAGAACTGCTTCAGAGAGCGGCAAGAACAGTGGGGTAAGTTGTTAGAAGTGAGGAGAAATGTTCTGTGGAGAATTAATGGTAATATATCTTTTACTATGTGTGCCTGTGTGTGTATAATTTTTTTTTTGAGATAGAATCTTGCAATTTGGTTTAGTGCCATTGTCCAAGTCATTTTGTTGCCCAGGCTGGTCTCAAACAGTAATTTCCCTGCCTCATCCTCCTGAGTGCTAGCATTACAGGTGCTGGGTGAATGATTTAGGGATGATGATGTGCAATTTATGTATCATTGTTGCCCCTGATTGATGAGTTTTGAAATTTTGTTTTAGTTTTCTTTTTTTTTCTCCTTGAAATAAAATGGATTTGGAGGAAAAAAAAACAAGATCCTGAATTCAATCTTCAGTACCACCAAAAAGATGAACTATTTTCTGTTAACATGTGTATTTCAGTATTCACTACTTATTTATTCTTGTTTTTTAAGAAATAGAATTACAGGTGTGTACTACCATACCTGGCTTTGTAATACACTTAAATTTAAATACTTATTTTTTTCAATCATCCTTGTACTTATATGCTGATAATGCCCCATTATTATCTCCATGTTCTCTTCTGTTCCTTAGTCTCGGTATCCAGCTACCTCTGGACATCTCTACCTAGTGGCTTATAAGCATTTAATCCTCATCTTCTAGGAAACAGAATTAATCTGCAGCTTCTCTACAGATCCCACATATCTTATATCCATGGATGGCATCATTGTTTACCTGCTGGCCAAAACCAGAAGCAAAGACTTCATCTTTAACCTTTCCTTAGTGGTCCCTTCCATCATCCAGGTGGTCACCAGAGTCCTTCAGGTTGTACATCAGGATAATCTGGAATTGGCTCCCTTTCTTCTGTTTCTTTGGGAGTTCTGTTCTGTGCAGCCATCACCTCCTGCTCTGCTTAGTGTAGCTACCTCCCAGCTGCCTTCACCCCCTGTACTTGCGCCTTACTGTAATCCAATTCACTTCTATTTACCTGGCTTCCACTCATCTTTCGAAAGAACTGAGCAGACAAATCGGATTTTGAAATACCATCTTCCAAATTAATTATATATATACACACACATATATATATATGTGTGTGTATATATATCCCTACTGTATATGTACAGGGAATATGCAAATTTTAAGAATCACTTCTCCCACAATTGAGCTGCTGTCACCCTGGGGGTGGAATCTGGCAGCTGTTCCATCCTCCATAAACAGCCTTGCTTAGCTCATTAAGAGAGGACAGGAAGAACAAGGTTCTATGCATGGAAGTCTCCCTCAGAGATTGGCTGAAAAGGGAGAGATTAGCTGAAAAATACTTGTACCTTAATTGGGTCAAAGGTATCAGCTCAAATCTTCTAACAATAAGAACTTTAAAATTTATATTTTGGTGTCATAGGGAATATGCCACTATCCTCTCTCTCCAGTAAAGTCCAAGTTGGCAAGGCTAATGAGAGGAGGTATTGAAGTGTGAAGAGTCACAGCAACCAAAGAACCAGACCAAGTTAAAAACGGAAATAAATCACCCATCGACCCAAAGCTGCACTCGGAAAAAAAATCAGTTTCCAAATATGCTGGACTCTGGCCAATCGTCTAGAACATTTCTTATTAAAATATCACCACACATCAGAGAGCTCTCTGATCTTCAAAGTACAGAAAAACATCAATCTGATGCCATCCTATATGTTTTTAAATCAAGAAACATTTAATGAATGCCCACAAATTTTGCCTGCCCTCAAGGAATTTATAATCTAGCAGAGTGACTGCCAGGGACTGATGAATGGAAATAAAATGAGTAACAAACACAAGACAGTATGTGATAAGGTATTCTGTAGTGCAGGGTCAGAAAGGAAAATCTTGCCTTTGGAGAGGAGGGATCAAGAGAGGTTTTTCTGGTGATGCATATCCTCTTGAGCGCATATGTGACACAAAGCCAGATGCTGCCAGGATGAGAGAATAATTTAGCATGTCATGCAAATTCTCAGCTTACCATTAAGAAAAAAAAGCCTATTTTTGTAAGATGGATAATTGCCTAGATTTTAAAGTTACTGAACCTAAATGGATAATGCCCCTAAAGTCTAATGATCAATGCTTGGCCTCTGTCTTTTTTGACAAATTTGACTTAATTAAAGTTTCTGAAGCCATGAGACTGCTGTGACTGCTGAGAAGTCAAAGCTGAAAGTACTTAGTACAGGGGAGTCTTTTTTATAATGCCATGATTGAAAGGCAAAACTATTATCTTCATTTGAGACTGTAGTTACTGTAACTTTTCAGAGACCTGCAGACCTTTGCACACAGTCAAATCTGGGCCATAATGAGCAGTGTAATTTTTTCTTAATGACATAGAAAACAATCTAAGCTCCAGTCCAAGTGGCAATTAACTGAGAATCCTCCAGCTGTTATTCGGTGCAGCTGCCCTCTTCGGAGTTCTACCAGGGAATAGCTGCTGTGTGGTTCCATACTGCAACAACCCTTCGCTCCATGATCTGTATCACAGGGTCCTTGGAGGCTTACCCTAAAAGTGTTTCACATATTGAGATAAAGCCACTGCTGTGGGTAGAGTAGGCCCCTCCTAGTCCCACACACAGTTAGTATTGTTTATTTAATCATCAATAATAACAGCCACAAAACTTACCCTTCCTGATCAAAATTCTTCAGTAAACCACCCACATAGATGCACATGCTATACTTTATAATTCATGAAAAATACAGTTTCCATTCCTAATTTCTCTTTACTCATTCATTCATTCATGCATTCATTTGAACACACATGTTCTGAATGTCTATAATGTGCCAGGCTCTATGCTAAGTGCTAGTGATATGGATGTGAAAAGCCTTCATGAAGTTTTTACTCTGCAGATGGATACTACTGAAAATACTCTATCCAAGAAACCATAACCCTTCTCCATTCTCAGGCCAGCAGTAATTCAGCATTTATTAAGGGCCTACTATTTGTAAAACACCACCCTACGCACATGGAGATCCTGAATAATAAAGATTCTGTTGCTTTAAGAATCTTGAAATTAGATTTTTAAATAACTTGAAACACACCTGAATATCTTAAGAATAAAAGTTCAAACTAAATGACTGTAAATGAGGAAAAAGATCACAACAGAAAGATAGATCTTTTCCAACTCTGAAAATTAAAGAAAACCTTTCAAGGATGACATTGTGTTTGAGCTGCCCTGAATAATTACAAAGAACTCCATATGCTCCACTGATTTGGCCTTATGTCTTCTATTCTTGAACAGATTAATTAAAAGGTATGAAATATTAGTTGCATTTTATAGATGGGAAAACTGAGGTCACCATTGATTTGAGGCCCCTCAATAAACTGGTGACAGCATGACCATAGGATGCCCAATTCCCCACTTCCTAGTGCTGTCTCATCCATTAGACACAACTGCCTTGGTATAGACATAACAGTTCTGGGGGATAATTGCATTTTAATTGAACTCTCTGTACTATATAAACGCCTCTGCAGAGAGGAAAGAATGTGTAGCTTGATAAATAAAATCATTTCTGCTAATAACTGCTTCTGCAAAAGGATTATGGATCTAACCTCTTGGTAGAGATGCCACTAAAAAGCATGTGCTGCCATCTGGGTTTTTTTTTTTTTTTTTTAAGTAATTTCACAATTTGAAGTGGATGTGGACTGCCTAGGATGTTCTTGTAGAGAAAATCAGTGTACCTGCAAATGGGTGTGTGGGCGACTTCTCTGTCTTCAGTGCCCAGGTTGTGATTAGAGTGCTGTGGAATTTTATATTTTAATCTTTCATGTAAATAGCCTGTGGGTTGGGGATGCGGCTCTGCCCATAGTCATGGTAACAAGTTCGGAGGCTATCTTCTATGGAGGGCATGCAGTCACGTGTTTTCTTTACAATACCTGCCTCACTTCGATGACAGGGAGTGTTGGGCATGGGTCACTTACTTCCAGGTTACAGTCCCACTGGCTGGAGCAAAGGACCCAGCTGCAGGCCATACAACCCATGATATACCTAAGAGCATTCTCTAATTTGAGCTTTGCTTACTTTTCTTCTTGATCTAGTTTTTTTTTTTTATTTTTAACTTCTCTCGTCCTAGACTATTGAGAGGCAAAATGCCATGATACAGTGAAGCAGGAGTCAGTCAGACTACCTGGTTCCAACCCTGGCACTGTCAAATTATTCCCAGAAAACATATAAAAAACCTTTTAATCAGAAGTTTTCTCAACCATGAAATGCAAATGATAACAGTCCTTCTTAGAGTAGATGCAAGAGACAAATGCCCATGTAGACATTTGGCACAGGACCTAGCACATTTTCAGTGCTTCGTAGTGCTGGCTATTTGTGTGATAGTTCCATCCCCACCCCATCATTCCTTTCTTTCATTGTTTTCCTTCCTAGTATGGAGCCGTAGGCCTGCTGGTATCTGGTCACCCTTGGGCTTGGCACTGGGCTAGACTTATACTTAAGCAGTATGAGGTTTAAACAGCCTTTGTCTCTGACAATATGTGATGGAGATGTAAGACATGATATTATGTCTCCTGCAATTTATTATTAAGACCTGAAAGTAACACCTGCTTGTAACCACATAACAGCAAGTTGAATTAATCAAGTCTAAAATGTGGTATCCCTTTTCCTAAAAGGAAAATGCTAAAGAAATAAAATGGAACCATGATTCGAAGTCTAAGTGTTTTGTATCTTGTTTTGTAATAATGTATATGAAGTCTAAGATCTAATATTGGCTCTGAGGTACCACCCAGTTTAAGGAGTTTTTGCACCATCTCCTAGGCAACTAGAGGCTTCCAGTAGGAAGTGCTTTGTCAAGGTCCCTGATGTTTAGGTTTCTGTTTTCAGGGGATGTATGATCCCATCAAGTGAAGATGTGAACCTTTGACTCTGGGTGACATGTCCTCCATCTAGGAAGCAGCTGTTTTTTGTTTTTTCATGTTTTTTTATGGAATTAAAAAACTTTCAGACAATAAGCATTCAGTGGAGTGGTAGGAGGTCAAAAGAGGAAGTAGAGGGTATCAGATGACTAAAATGCACTGTAATGGAATTTTGTTATTGACCTTCAGGTCCTCCATTCAGATGGAGGGGATCTCAGGTATTTCCCCATATATAGGTACAGGTGACTTCCGAGTGATTGCAAAAACGTTTTGATAATTAGGAACTATGTTTTCCATTCGGTAAAGTGAACATAGGCCTCTTTTTCCTGATATTTTCTTTTCTTTTTCTTTTTTTTAGTTCATCTCCTTGTGTTTTCTCAACAGTTCGCAAAGGCTACCGGATCCAAGCTGACAAAGAGAGAGACTCCATGAAGGTCCTGTACTATGTTGAAAAGGAGTTGGCTCAGTTTGATCCGGCCAGAAGGATGAGAGGCAGATGTGAGCATCTGTTGGTTTTATGTGATTTGTGCATCGTGCTCTTGCTCTTCCTCATAGCTAAGGAAGTCAGGAGTATCGAACCTGAGCAGTCTTGAACTTGCAGAGCTAACAAAGATGCTGGTGACATCAGGATGGAAGGCAACAGAGGGAACAAAAGGTTTCTGTTGTGAAGAGTAGAGCTGTCATGTTCCCCGTGGTTTATGGTCTCTCCATGGGGTGGTCAGCATTGATTGTGGTGGCTAGGTAATTCTGGGGTTAGAAATGTTTTATTAAAACAGTTTTCCCCTACTCTCCTTTTAAGGTATAATGAAAATAATGATGAGGTATGAAGCTTCAGTATCAGTTTTTTCCAACACAAAGGGCCTTGGCATGGAACCATCAAGCAGTCTGGTTGCCTCATGGAGGCTCAGTAAAAGTGAAAACACAAGTTTGGCAAGTGAATCTGGGAAAAGAGGCTGACATTCATTCTTTTGAGATGCCCAATCACTGAGATGGAAAGGAGAGCAAAGAGGCTGTTCCTCTGTCAAGGAGCTTTTTAATTACCAAGTCTGTAGGTAACTGGGCACCAACCCCTAACTTACCCACAGTCCTCACAAACTCTGCAGCTGACACAGCTGATTTTGGGGGGGTGGACTCCAAATTACTGTCTATCACAGAAGGCAGACCAGGGCAGGTCTGACATGGATGGGCTAATTATCAGTGGGTGCTGGCAGGCATGGTAGTGAGGTCACTGTGTGATTACTTCAAACCCTCCTCTTCTTGGAACCAGGGAGAGACTTGATGGAACTGTTGGGAAAACAGTCCCAGACTACAGGAGCTTTATTCAGATTAAGGACAACATATTCCACCCAGTTTGCAATTCTAAATTCATCCTGTCTGTGTTGCACCCATTACTGCATCCTCCCACCGCGGGGACTATAAAAAGACCATCTCCAGATTGCAATGTCAGGAATGCAGATGTCACTGCACTTGACAAGTTGGTTGTAACAGTGTTGTCATGGATCCCTGAAAGGGGCCAGAGACAGAGTCAGGGATCAAAGAGAAACCTGGGTAGTGTATCTACTGAATCTCACAGCTGGGGATTGGGGGGTTAAAAACTAAGATCAGAATAGAAGAATAGTTTAGGTTATGGTTCCTGTCTAACTGTCTTGACTAAAATGGAATCTGGGGTCCAGCTGATCCAGCTGATGGACTCTTAAGACCTACTATCTCTGGGGATAGAGTTGAAGGGGACCTTAGAAAGGGCTAGGTCAACTTTTGTGAGGTATATACTGAAGAAACAGAAGGTCAGAGGGGTGCAGTGACAGAATCAGTAGAACCCAGCTCTTCTGAGTTCCAGTTTCATGATCTTAACACAAGAAATTTCTGCACAAACTTGATGGTTACATGGCTGTAGATCTACTGAATCTATGGCCTTTTTGATGGTCTTCTTGTTTATTTATGTAGGGCTCCAGAATCCTGAAACTAGAAGGGACTTCTGAGGTTCTTAAATCCATCTCCTTCAATACAGAGGAGGATAGTGAGACAGAGAGAGATAACCAGGGCCAGTACTGAAGGCCAGTACCAGGACTTCAACCCTGGATTACCTGGTACCTGCAGGTTAGCATTACAATAGCTGCATGGAAATGAAGTAGGAATATAGTTCATTGTTTCCAGATGTTGATTCTATTTCTGAAGGGCAAAGTAAACCCTCGGGTAGATCACAGAATGGGACCATCTTGAAAAATCTGTAACAGGGAAGTTAGAGATTCTATAAGAATTAGGACTTTGAGGTCCAGAGTCATGAATTTGCTAGCCACTACGGCCCTCATTTGTCTTGTCTTCATATGTGAAGGATGGCTCCTGGGTCTTTTTAGCCTGACAGTTCCTAGAGTAGGGGTCAGTAAATGAAATCTCCCAGGCCAAGGAGGTTCAAATTTCTGTTTTTGTAAATAAATTTTCATGGGAACACAGTCATGCCAATTCAGTTGTGTATTATCTGTGTTTTCATGCTAGAATGGCAGAATTGAATGGTTTTAACAGTATGGCTTGCAGTGCCTAAAATACAGACAATGTTTGCTACAGTTATACTACTGGAGGTCTATGAAGGATGTTGAAGTTCAGGTTAACCTTGCCAGAAATTTTAGGGAAACATATTCCAGCCAGTTATGAAATTGACAGCCCTTCCTATCTGCAAAAATCAAAAGGGTAAGTCCAGCATCCCATCAGACATTTAAGGAAGGATCTGAGCCAATATTGTTTTTCAATGTCCTCCTCAACCCATTGTAAAGTTTTTTTCTATACAGTTTCTAAAGAGATTGTAATTCATGAGAATCATGACAGAAGGAATGTTCTAAGTTTTTACTAACCAATAGGAGCTATTTTTCTTTAAAATAGGCACAAATTAGTTCATTCTCCTTGAGTGGGAGAAAAGTTTTAAAATTTAAATTATAATTCGGAAACCAACTAATGGCACGATTAAACAGAGAGGCACTTATGGTAAAAGCTGTGTCCCTAGGAGGCTGTGTATGGAGAAGAAGAGGGAGACTCCCCGCTTTGATGTCCAAAAATTCTCTGTTCCTCCCAAGATTGTTGGAGACTGGGTGGGGTGAGGGTGGGGGCGGAAGGGACCTTGAGATGCGCATTTATGTTTCCCAGGCCTTGGCTTATCATTCCCTTGACGGCCTTAAACTTAGTAAGTGTTGTTTTAAATAATATTTTGAAGTCTTAATGAAAACGATTCTACAAAACAAATGGTTTTGGTTACATTGCAAATAGGTTTACTAGATTTATTTTTTAAGTAAAATGAAATTCAATACATTTCAGAGTTCTATAAATAGTTTCTCTCTGTTCTTTCTAGACCGTGATTCTGGTTCTTGTTCAAAGGTGCTTTGCAAAAAAAAAAAAAAAAAAGCTACTTAGGAAAACAAGACAGTTATGACTAGATACTCTCTTGCACTTGAGCATAAATGGAGACCAGGCCAGAAGGGCAGGCCACCCCCTTTTGTATTCTTATCTCCAGGCAACCAGAAATACTCTTGTAGGGAAGGGAAGAAGTCTCCCCAGGCTTTGGAAGTGTACTTGATACCACTTGGGCAGAATATTCCAGGTTCCTGGATGAGCATGGTTTAAAAGGGAGGTGTGTGGACACAAGCTGTATGCTTCTGGTTGACCTTATGGACTTCTTGCTATGCAGGGAGGGGCAGATTAGGGGTCCTGTAAAAACATGTGATGATATTGACTCTGAAGATCCCATTACATGGGAATGCGCTGGCAGAAAAGATGCTGGGTTCTGAGGTCTCTCTTTTTTGTTGTTGTTTCTTTTGGCCCAACATGCTAGGGATCATCATGGCTCATCAACAGAACTATACAGAACCAAGAAAAACATTTGAACAAGGATGATGATGTACTAGCAGGCCACCTGCAGAGAGCCCGAGTTCTGAGAAGCCTGCCTCAGGTGGAACAAAAACAATTGTTCTCTTATTCCAAGAACAGAGCACATAGGAAACCTCCCTTTCCATAAACAGTAGGGTTCAAAATGGAGTCAGTCCCTGCTGAGCTGAGAACACAGATTCCACTAGTGCAGGTCCATATCCCTCCCGAGGACCTCCAGTGGGACTTATAGAGCCTCAGGTCTCAGCCTCTAACAGGGTCCTCTTCCTGTCTCCCATGTAGAAAGTTTTGTCATGCCTGGTTTTGTCTCCACAGATAACAACACCATCTCAGAACTCAGCTCCCTGCATGAGGACGACAGCAATTTCCGCCAAACCTACCATCAGATGCGGAGCAAGCCCTTCCCTGTGTCTGGGGACTTGGAGAGCAACCCTGACTACTGGTCAGGTGTCATGGGTGGAGGCAGTGGGGCCAGCCGGGGGCCCTCAGCTGTGGAGTATAACAAAGAAGACCGGGAAAGCTTCCGGCACAGGTGATGGGTATGAAGGGGCTGGAGTAGCAGGCAAGTTAAAGCTGAGCCTATCGTTACGTACAAGTTCTGTTTTCCATCTTGTGCTGCCTCACCAGGTCTCTTTCTATAGGATACAATGTGGCCCCTTCTTGTATTCATTAAGCAAGGGAACCCTCATGACACTCTTAGAAGACATCCTGTAAAGCCTTTTGAACATGTGTGCCGTAGGCTCCTCAAGGAACCTTCACATACTCTGCCTTCCTCACATACTTAATCCTATAACCTCTAAAACTTCCCACTCATTACGTGCATCATTTTTTATCATTTGTCAGGTAAGCTGTAATGTAATGCCAGCACTCATATTGATGCACTTAATTCTCATAACGCAAAGGCAGCGACTACTACTATCCCCGTTGCGTTGGGGAAATACAAATTTCCAGATGCCCAGGAATTTACCAAGGATAAGACCAATGAAAAGGGAAGGCCAAGATTTTACCAGTTTTTCTGACCACTTCTTGAATGGCACCTTCACATTCACCTGTCCTTTACTTTGAAGGTCAGCAAACATCACATGTTTCTTACCAACTGCAAGGGTCTCTCTGGTTTCCTGCTTGGTAACTTGGTCCTAGGCCCTGAAGCAGGAACACGACTGTTTACGTGTCAGCGTATATTCCAGAGACTTCAAAGTGTTTTGTTACTTGGCTAGCTTAGAGAGTGGGCAGATGAGATGTGCAGGTTCAACCAGAGGTTACATCCTAATGATCAGAAGGCCTCACTGTGTGTTTCAGCACTGAGTGGCCCAGAAAGCATTTTTAGGCAGCCAATACTACTTTGATCCCTCTCACAAACTCATCAGGTAGCTTGGGTCACTCTCGATGCATCACGGGTGCTGGAGGGAGGCACGAGATGATTGGTGCATCCTCGTCCAGGGACCGCTGAGGGCACTCCCCCAGGTGGGCCTCGGTCTCCCCGCCTTGAACTGCGCAGGACGCGGTTACCGTAACCCTCAGTCCCCTGACCCATGCCTCCTCTGCCCGCAGCCAGCAGCGCTGCAAGTCTGAGATGCTGTCCAGGAAGAGCTTCTCCGGGGGCGTGCCGGCAGTGTCCATGGACGAGCTAGCAGCCTTCGCGGACTCCTATGGGCCGCGGCCTCGCCGCGCCGACGGCAGCAGCCTGGAGCCCCGGGGCGGCAGCCGCTTCGAGCGCGCAGAGTCGCGCGCCCACGCGGGCTTCTATGCGGACGGCGCGCTCGAGTTCTTCGCGCCCGGGGACGCGCGCGCGCCCCTGCCGCGCCTGGTGAGCCGCACGCCCAGCGCAGCGCCTGAGCCGGGCCTGCCATTCCCGGGCGGCAGCCTGGAGACGCCGGCCAAGCGCAGCGCTCAGCTCGGCCCGCGCAGCGCCTCCTACTACGCTTGGTCACCGCCCGCGCCCGACGAGGAGGACGTGCCCGACGACGCGCTGCCGCCCTACAGCGAGCGCGAGCTGAGCCGCGGCCCGTCCTACCGCGCGCGCGAGCCGCCCTACGCCAGCAACTCGGAGAGGCGCAGGAAGAAGGAGCCCGCCAAGAAGACGGTGGGGCACCTGGGGGCGTGATGGGATGGGGCTCCGGGGGAGGGTAGGCGGGGACCCCACCCAGGGAGGCCGGGCAAAGGGGCCCTGGAGTCCACCGGCCTCGGGCACTTTGTCCGCAGAGTACGCTGGGGTTCTTTTCAGCCACTTTCTATGCAGGACCAGAGTGGGGTCAGTAAGCCTGGGGTCCTGCAGGGTTTTTTTAAAGAGGCCAAATTAGATGTGTGGATGACTTTACAGAGGCCCTTAGATAGTTAAGGCTATCTTTAAGGAGGATTTGGCAGCAGGTTTTCATGGTGACCCAGACCAAATGTCATCCTAGCACTGTGGGAGGCCGATGCATGAGGATAGCTAGCAAGATCAATGGCAGCTTTGGCAATTTAGAAAGATACTGTCTCAAAAAAAAGAGCTAGGAATGTATTGCAGTGTGAAGGCTTTGAATTCACTCTCCAGTACAGGGTAGGGTGGGGTGGGGGTCAGCAGCATTTGGCATCTGGGATTCTAGGCACTGTGGCCACTTCAGGTCTCCTTTACATGAGTGTCTGTGGTCTGTGTGCAGAACATTGTTCAGGGTTTAGGTACACTGCTCCTTTCCCATCTCCTGCACCCTTTGGGTGAGAGTTGGTAAATTGTATTAAGTTCCCCCAAGAATCTGCATCCCAGAGAAGATTAGGAGATATTGTTCTTTACAGCGGGTAACTAAATACTTCCTTTTCTCTATTTTTTTTTTTTTTTTGAAATTTTATTGAATGTTAACTGTGTCTGTATATGTGAAAGAAATCCTCTGGCCCCTGCCTAGCTCCTCATTTCTTTTGTAGACCCTCTTTTGCTTTCACTCTTTATGAAATGCAGCCCACTCTGTCCGTTGGTCTCTGAACATGAGCCCCGGACCTCAGAGAAACACTGGGGGACGGTCACAGGTGCTCACTGTGGAATACCAAAGTGCCTCGGAGTCTACACTTTGGAGATCGCTGTCCATGCTCAGGACCTCTGAGTCCTGCTCCTAACTTTGCCTCCCTGCATTTTGTCTTTCATGATTCCAAAGGACATTTACTTTAGTGTGCAGTGTAGGAAAAGGAACATACACACAAAAAAAAGGATTGGCATTATTACTAGCCCTCCATAACAGGGGTCCTTTACTCTTTAAACAGAAAAGTGCAATGATCAGAACACTGAATAAGGAAAATCTTCTGGGTGATACTGAGTTTATGGTAGACTGTTTACACATGCTCTTAGACAGCTGTGATGTGGCTCTAGGGAGGGAGGTGCTTGGAAGTGTGGAAAATGGCTCTGTAGCCAAGTATCTAAATTCCGTCCGGGGTATCTTGGCTTCAGCCCCAGCAAATGGAATGAAATGTCTTCCAAGGCAGGGCGTATCTGGCTCTGAACAGATTGTGGACTCTGCCCAGTGGATTATCTGTTGTGTTGGCTGATTTCTTTAAGCACCTTATGTTTAATGTTAGGCTTTTTCTGCTTTTCTTCAGAACGACTTTCCAACTAGGATGTCCCTTGTGGTCTGATGTTTTTTGAGACATCTGTCCGGAAAATCCAAATCAGATATAGACTGCAGGAACAAGACGCAAATCCAAGAGCCAGCAGGCCGGGACTTTTCTTTGACAACCACCTTGGAAGATTTGCTGACTCTTCTCTGGCAAAGGAAAAAAGGCAGCCTTGAAAGAAGGCTGAATACAAACCTCAGTGCCCATCTAACTAGTTTAAGAAACTTATGTTAAAACAATGATGTGAGAACATCCCACCCATAGTTTACGCTATCCAACCTCCTTCCTTAGCAGATCTGGGATTTCACTTCCAGTTCTGAAAGAGTTAACCCTGGACCACCAATCTCTGGAAATTGTCTGTGCTTACAGTACGTCTCTCTGCTATGCTTAGAGACAGAAGAATTCATTACTGCGACTGGATGAAGGCCTGCTGCTGACAGGGGAAGAGCACTTCAAGGCAGAACACACCTTTTATTCCCACCACTTCCTGGTCACTGATCAATGACCATTGTTACACTAAAATCAGAAAGCCTTTGGTGCATTCAGTGATAGCAGCCTCCTGGACAATCACAGAAACGACTTTGTTTGCTCTTCTGAATTGCAACTCTTGAGTGGCTGGGACAAAGCACGAATACACCATTGTGAGAAGCAGTCTAAGTGGTATTTCCTTTTTTATTCTGAGGACATAAACTGCTTTTCCCTTCCCTCAATACATGTCAACATCTGAGTCTTGAACCTTAAGGGCTCTTCTTTTCTTCTCCTCTCCTCTCCAGGACTTCCTACTGGTCGGTGCCACACACAGAGCCCCACCTCCATCTGCACTCTGATAAGTTTGTCATCAGGTGCCTTTTGATACATGCTTAAAATTCAACATATGAAAGAGAAGCAATTAAAAAAGAAGACAAAGCAGTAATACAAGATAGAGAAGAATGACAAGAATTTAAGAGGAAAATACTGTATGGTCCCACTATATTTGAACTATGGAGCATTTTCCCTACAAATCCCAGTCAGTCTTTTCTGGTTTTGTACTTCATTGCTCATAATTGTCTCTGCCCTCCTGGTTCTGCCATTGCAGGACACTAGAGATGTAGAACTTGCATCTCTTGGATTCACTGGGATGCTTTGGGGAGATGAAAAAGATACTGCTTTCTTGGAAGAAGTACTTCCTATTCCTACCCCTGCCTAAATGGTAGGTCCTGAGTCCCAAAGTTAAACCTCTTTGGATTTTGTAATTTGTGTGGATTACAAAAATGGCCACAAACTTTCCCTCCCATTAAAAGGTGTTTTCCCCCACCTTTTGAGCCAGGAGATGGCTGTGTGATTTGATTTGGCCAAATGGCCCAGTAGCAAATATACATAAATAGAGATTGGAAAAGTTCTTGTGTATGGGATTTGTTCTCTCTTGCTGCTCTTGGAACCTTGCAGTCACCACCTGGTGAATGAGCTTGAACTGTCCTGCTGCATGATGAGAGAAAACGGTGTCATTACCCCTGGCACTCTGTGTGACAGTTCGTCAGTTCTCAGCCAATTGTAGACACAGGAGAGTCCAGCCAAGATCAACAGAAAAGCTGCCTAGCTGAGCCCAGCCCAAACCGCTGATTCCGACTTGAGGCTTGAGACATCAGTGCACCCCGTGTGTTTTCTTCTAATCAGAATGTTCAGCCCTGAATCTCTTCTCCATCCAGTCGTAGATGTCTCACAGCCTCTCCTTTCTTTGACAGACTTTGCATTTCATCTTTATTCATCACTATTATGATGGGACACGTTGTCAGGTCAAATCACTGGAGTGGGGGATGAACTTGCAATGTCCTAACCCAGCAATGGTTCATCCCTATTCTTGGATCCATGGACAGCCTCTGAATGTGGATCAGCATCTCGCAGGCCTTCTTCCGAGCCATCAGTCCAGACCTCTAAACCACTGTTCCATTAGTATCCGTTGTATTTTTTAGCATTTCCAAAAAGTCCTATGTGCAGTGTTACAAAGTAGTACTGGGTAAGGGTCAGAGGGAAGAGCTGGTATCACTGCTTGGAGACTTGGCCTACCAAAGGCCTTCATAATTGTTCTGGCCTGTCCTGTAGGAACTAGAAGTACAGATCAGCCCAATGCCGACACTTCCAAGGGCTTGAAGACACAAGCCATAACCCTGGTGCTGAGTTTTAGACGTGCTGGTGTCCCTGTCCTCAAAGAGTTGGTCTGTTCAGGCCCAAATTCACATGGAAAATATGATAAACACATAATTTCTTAGTCACCAGCTTTGGATTTCAACTTGCTCAGGCAGTTTTGGAGAATATTGGATAGCTGCAGTAGCTGTTACTGCTTTATACTGAGCACTGTGTCAGGCTTCTCACCACCAAAGAGCCCCATAGCACCAGCTGCAGAGACCGAATACAGTGCTTTTTAAAGTCAGGGGCATGTATCATTTTGGTGAAGGTTGAGGGAAGCAATGGGAAGAATTATTAAAATTAGAAACTTGTAATTCCTAAGACAACGAATGAGTAGACAGACAATAAAAATACACCAAGAACATAGTAAACTATTAACACAACATGGGGTAGAACCAGCTTGTTTTCTGTAAAGCTGGATAAAGTTGGATAAATCACTCAGACTTCCAGACCTTCAGTAGACAGAAAAAGCAGGGGTTTCTTTTTCCTGGGTATGTGGACAAGGACATAAGACTACATAGACAAAGCAAAGCTGACTGCTCAACACCCCTGGCTTTTCTCTCCATGCCTCTCTGCTCCTTCCCGGTATAGTGTATCCCATTTAGGAAGTGCTTACATCTCTTAACTTCCTTTGTGGATTTTATTAGACTATAAAGTAAGTCTTGTCTAGCTCATGGTCTCTGTCCATCAGGACCCTGCAATTTAATACGGAAACAAGACATGCCCAAGAATGAACTAGGAGATTCTTATGCATATGATAAGAGATAGTGCTATGGATCAGTTGTAATCAATTATATAATAAACCCAGAGATTTACAGATTTTTCAATTTGCGGGGGATATTTTGATATTTAAGTGTTGCATGTTTGTCTGTCCATGTCATTTGAACATATGATCAGTCCTCTGAAAAGCCAGTCTAGAAGAGTCTGCGCTGAAAAGTGAATCAGGATGGGTAAGGGTGAATGACAGGGAGCCTGGAGGGATGGTGCAGGAACCGCTGTGCTTGTCTGTGAGTCACAGCTGAGTCAGGGACGGGCTGGAGGAGGGAGTGTGGAAGCAGGTGGCAGGAGGTGTCCCTGGGTAGATGAGCTGCTTTTCTAGGCCATGTATAGTCATTAGGAAGCTGAGGACAATCACCATGGACCTGGCAGTGGTGTCAGTTCTTCCACTTGAGCAGGCTGGCAGAGCATCTGCACATCTAGAGGCTCAGTTCTGCAGTTAGAGGTGTTGTTGCCCACCTGCACTAATGCAGGCAGCTTTCACAGAGAGGGCAAGGTCTTGTTTCTCTTTCCATGGGCCTCCCTCTGTGCCTGGCATGGGCTGGGCACCCTAAGATGGGAAGGCTGCCATGCAAACCCAAAGCACAGAGCCACATCTGAATATATTTCTAATGATCTAAAAAATTCATACAAATAACAGTTTCTTAGGCAGCCTTTGAGAGAGACTGAAAGTAACATTGTGATTTACCCTTACGCTTTTTTAAACAAAGAAACCATCATTCCCATTAGTGAAGTCATAAACCTATCAAATCTTTAGACTCCCAGACTGTAGGTCTTACTGGATCAGTGTTTCCACAAATTGCCTAGCCATAAGAATTATTTGATTGTCATTTAAAAGGTACTGTTGACAGTTTGGGAGGCTGAAGCAGGAAGATCAAAAGTTTGAGGCCAACCTGGGTAACTTAGTACTAAAGACCCTACTTCCAAAACCAAAAAGAGCTGGAGATGTTGCTCAGTGGTAGAGCATTTGCCTAGTATGTATGAGACCCAGGGTTCAATCCCCAGTACAGTGTTGCTAAAAAGAAAAAGTGTCATTGAACTCTGCCCTGTGCTGGTCTGGAGTTAAGATCTGTATTTTGTACCTGAGCTTCGGGAGAATCCTGTGATCAGATGCGTTTGGGAAGAGTTACACAGCTGGCCTTGAGGCTTTCTGGGTTGTGGAATCTTAAGAAGTCCTGGTGAGCCCTCTCCCACTGTCTCAAGGTTGCCAGCCAAGTGGTCCCCAGCAGCTGGCTGACCAGAGCTGGGAGAGGAAGCGCTAAAGGACAGGAAGGAGTGGAGAGCCTGCGTTAGATGTCTCTATTTCCAGAACAGTGACAAGCTGCTGTGACAAGCTCAGATCAAACAACAAAAATTATAGGTAATTTTCTCATTCCCTGGATACCATTCTGAGCAAAACTTAGATCGTGAATAGAAACAAAGGAGGCCATTGGGGAAATGGCAAATGTAAATCACTTAAGTTATCAGCCTTAGGAATCAAAACCATTTCCACCTTACGACCCAAAGTGGAGTGGCTAAGAATAATACAATTTATAATATAACTCCTTCAAGGATCAGATTTAAATGCTGCCAGGATCTTACAGACATTTGAGTTACAGCATATGGAAATCCAAATTCACACCAGTGGCTCAGACACTTAAGGTCCTGGAAGAAAAGAGTGCATGCTTTTTTCCTGCCAAGATCCTTCTTACCTCCTGTCACCTGAGAAACTGATCAGTGAAGCTGGAAGAAGGGACTGAACATCAGAGTAGAGAAGGGGTGCTGCCATGCTGTTCTAAGTGGGTGCCTGAGACTCAACACTGCCTGACAGTGGTGAGGTCAGTACTAATGATGTGTGTAGGATTTTTATGACATATTAGTGTTTACAGACCATTTTCCCATGCATTATATCATTGGATGTTCATACCAAGCCCTGTGACAGAATCATACAGAATGTGAAACTGAGGTTGGAAAGACTGAGTGATTTTTTTCTTTTTTGGTGCTGGAAATTGAACACAGGACCTTGCACTTGCCAGGCAGGCGCTATGCTGCAGAGCTAAATTCCCGACTGATTTTCTGAAAATCAAGTGGCTTTTAAAATTATAGGCCTTATTGACTGTTTAGAGATTTTTGCAGTTCCTACAAAAGCTGGGGGATGGGAGGCTGGCTTATTATCTTACAGCACAATGTGAGGTGAGAAGCATCCTGAACTCAGCTCTGGTTCACAGACCATCACTTAGGTAAAGCAGCAAAGAGCACTATAGCAGCTTGGTCCAATTAAGCGCTTTTCCTCAAAGGCCTTCTCAGAGAGAGGGGACTCCTCAGAACTGCCATGAGCAGTGGCCACACCGAGGGGCTTTGGGAGATAAGCTCCAGCACTCGGAATCCTTCTTCAAGAGGAATTTCTGAGAACAAACTACAGGTTCACCTGGACCTAGAATTCTGGGGGTGGGGTCAGGAGCTGCTGGGGAAAAGAATAGCTTGTCACTTCCCTACATTCCAGGCTTTAGGTAGAACTCAGGAGGGTCAGATATCTAGAGGGAGCAAGAAGGGCAAGTACTAGAAAATTTGGTGTTCGTCTAAACTTTTGGTAGTTTCTTGGTGGGCTTCCCTGGATGCAAGGTGAATGTGATCTGACCCATTTTATCTGGGAAAGCAGACAAATGGCTTCTCTCTTACCTTGTAAAGCCACTTGATGTACAAAAATGTAGATGCTACCCCATGAGAAATTTCCTCGTGCAAATAAAGAGCAAGAGAATAGAAGAAACAATGGGATTAAGGGGCAGAAGTCAGCATCCTGAGGTCACCTGCCCAGTTTGTTTTGGTGCCTTGTCTGTGACTTCAAAACTGAAATGTTTATATCACTGTTGCCCATGATTTTTTTATATGTTGGACATACAAAGTGAATTTGGTTGTGATGTTTTAAACTAAATAAAGCGTTTTCATTTACCTTTGTTATCAAGTATTAATTATTAACATAAATTGTAGTTCCTCATGATCTGGAATTAAATGACCTCAGCAAAAACGGAAGCATGTAACACACTCTCCTCAGAATGGTTTCTGTGCTCTACCAGAGAGATAAATATTATGGGTTGTAGAGAAGCAGGTACTGACAAAGCATAATATTGTGCCTTTGCCGATTGTAACAAGCTGCAGGCTGGATGAGTTCCTGGCATGCACGGCTCTGCTGTCCTGGAGGAGCCGAGGTGGGACAGTGGGCTAGTACCTGGCTCCTTTTCAAGACGGGAACCAGCCTTTGCCTGACAGAAATTACACTTGGGGAAGGAAGAAAGCTTATCGTGGGAGGACACTTGAAGTTCTTAAGAGATTTGAGAAAGTCCACAGCACCATAATTTAAGAGGCAGCAATTAAAATCCTTTGTTGTCATAGAAGTGATTAAAAAAAAAAAACAACTCAGGGAACTATTAAGCCTGTGTTGATGGCCAGGCCTTGTCAGATGAGTTCCAGATTTTGGAGCCCTAGTTGAATGGAAAATGTGTTTTTGCATGATGTGTCTGGGCTTAATTTTCTTCTTTTAGTAATTAATTTAAAATATTAACATAAAGGTTTAATTTAAAAATAGATTCTAGCTGAGTGTGATGGCCCATTCCTGTCATCCCAGTACTGTGGGAGGTTAAGGAAGAAGGATCAAAAGTCTGGGCCCAGCCTGTACAACTTAACTTAGTGAGAGCCCGCCTCGAGATAAAACAATTTAAAAAAGGTTAGAGGTGAAACTCAGTGTGAAGGCCCTGGGTTCAACCCCCAGTACCACCACCAAAAAAAAGTCAAACAAAACCAAAAAGCACTCTAAATAACATGTTTCACTCCAAATACCTCTTATTTACTTTCTGCCACTTTGTTTTAATTCTATCTTGGTTTTCCTAATATATATTTTTATATTTATATATAGAAATAATACTTATTAATATATTTTACCTATCTAACATTTAGATATATAGCTTTTATTTTTTGGAATTGCTGATGTCTTGCCTACACATTCTTTTTTTGTATGTTTTATATCTTCCTATTGAAATCTTTTCTTTCTGAAGGAAAGTTTCTTTAGTTTTGGTCTGTTGGTAGGATACTCTGTCAGGTTTTTTTTTTAATCTAAAGCAAAGTATTTTATTCTTGTTATTGAAAGATAAATTTCATTGGTTATACAATTGTAGACTGTTAATTATTTCCTCTTGGGTTTGAGATGTCAGTTACCAGCCTAACTATCCTTTCATAGGTAATCTTTTTTGCCTTTCTGGCCATTCTTAAAGTATTCTTTTTATCTGTAGTTCTTTTTGGTTTTTATTGACTTGTAATCAAGTGTGAGTTCTTTTTACCTGTTCCAATTGGGGCTTATTGTATTTCCTCAGCCTGTGGGTTAGTTTTCATCCAATATAAAAAACTCTGAGCTATGAACATATTACATATTTCATCTCATCTGTAAGCTCTCTGTGTTAGATCTTTGTATCTGTCCTCCATATTGCTTCAGCTGTCTTCCATTTTCTTTCTCTTTGTCTCCTCTTCTCTGGTTAATTTCTTTAATTGTATCTTAAAGTTCACTAATTTTCTCTGCAGCTCACTTTAATCTTCTTTCTTTTAACTTTAAGCAATGTATTTTTCATTTAGAAGTTCAACTTTTTCAGATCTACATAGTCACTGTTGATAGTGTTATGTGCCTTACTCTGTTAAATTCCTCTTTGATTCTATTAAACATCGTGATTTGAAATTTTGTGTCCAATAATTCCAGCATCTACTGTCTTCGTGGGTTTAATAGTGGAATTTGTTACTTCAGCTAATTCTCATTCATGGTTCCTCATGTCCTCATATGTTTTATAGTTTTTGATTGTGAGTTTATATTGGGTAGAATGACATATTACATTGGTCTCAGTCAGGAAAATCCTTTCCTGCTTTTTTATAGTATCTACCCAAATAGCTCCATATATACCCAACAACTCTGAGTGTGGGATCCAAGAGGAATGAGTGAGCAAAAAAGAATAGAAGTGTTAAGTAGAAAAAAAGTCAAGAAGGTACATGTATTTCTACTGAAAGTTTCTAGACTTCTAGATAATATAGGATTATAGGAGAAGGCAAGAAGCTTTAACTGTATGTATAATTCAGAATTTGATCATCAGAAGAGAATGAATATTTTAAGGCGAGATATAAAACTATTTTAGGAGTTAAAAACAAGCAGCCCACTATTTATTAAGAGTGATTGAAGCAATTATAGAACTAGATTCCCTTCGAGATGTACAGAAAGACTACACCCATAGGATGAAATAGGGTTAAGAAAAACAAAATGATTTATGTTCTCTACACATGGATTAATTCTAATTCAAATTTTTCTATACATTTAAGAAATAAGAAGTAGACTGATTTTAATTTCTCTGGAAAATATTGGGAAGGACATCCTAATAATACTCATTACACCATTTAGGTGCAAGTTATATTTTTCTGCTGAATTGGCTTTAAGCACTTGCTGAAGACTTATCAGGTGACCTGAGAGGACTCACATCAAGTTCATAGGAGGTACAGGGGTCACAAGTCCCTTGGAGGTGAGTGAGTTAGCCTGACGTGCCACCTAGTGGCAGCCACCCAAGAATGCTTCTGTCCTGGACAGAAACTGGTGTGCCTTTCACTATGTAAAAGATAGGTTCTTTAAAATCGTGTATGACTTCACTTTTGACAAATTAAGTGCACTGAGAGTTCTTTATTTAGCAATGGTGAGCTTTTATGCATGTTTTGCAAGTTTACAACATGTCACATTATGTTTTCAAGGCGTACTTCTGGGAGCACATGCCTTTCTTCATTTACAGCTATTTTAAAATGTGCTTTTAACACCAAAGAATTACAAGTGCTTTCTAAAGTCAGGTCAAGACTCTGATTTTGCAGCATTATAGTGAAGCAAAAACTATGCCTGCGAAGTGTGCAAACAAATTTCCTAAATAGTCCATTCCTTGGCCTTTGGCTGACATAAAGAAAACTTTTAAAAAGAATCAATTATTTCTCTTGCTCTCATGCTCATTTTCCTAAAAATCAAGAGGAGTACAAGCTTCCACAATCTCAATACTTTATTCATTTTTAACAAACCTTGCTCTTAGGAGGTATTTTGTCATGTTTTGTCACCTTTCCAGGGCAGCAGCCTATCACCAAACTATTCTGCCTGGCTCTTGTCTCCTCCTGAGATACTCAGCCTCTGGAGGTACTTCTGCTTGGTCTTGTTCTTAGAAAAGTCCTTTATTCACTGAGTCGTGTTCATTTACAGTGCACATTAATACCTGTTCTTCTCCCTAAATCTTAGTATGGTTTAGACCAGCGGTCCCCAATCTTCTAGGACTAGTTTTGTGGAAGACAATTTTTCCGTGGTGGCAGTGTAGGAGTGACTTGGGGATGATTCAAATTCATAATTAACAGAAAGATTCTGATGCAACCTAGACCCCCTAAGGTGCAGTTCACAGTAGCATCCACACTCGTATGAGCATCTAACATTTCCGCAGGTCTGACAGTGGGGAGCATCTGTACATACAGATGATGCTTCACTAGCTCACCCCTGTTCCCACTGCTCACTTCTGCTGTGAGGTCTGGTTTCTAACAGGTTATGCACCTATACCACTCCTGGCTCAGGACTTGGGGATCCCTGGTCTAGATAACTGGCTTTTCTCATTCTTTCCTGTCAGGTGGGTTGCTGGAGTCTAGTTGATGTTTCTTTCTTTTAGCAGCTGTTAAAAATATTTGAGTTACAAATGACAGAAAACCAACTCAGAGTGACTTGAAGGGAAAAAAAAGACAAGAAGGGATGGAGGTAGCATAATTATCAGAAAGATTCTGATGGGGCTGGAGGAGCTAGGGACCAATCTGGGTCTTGATGCAGCCAGATGCTCTCTCTGTCCATCACTCATATCAGCTTCTCTCTCTCTGTCTCTCTCTCTCTGTCTCTCTGTCTCTCTGTCTCTCTCTCTCTCTCTCTCTCTCTCTCTCTCTCTGTCTCTCTCTCTTTGTATATATATACACGCATAAATATGTGCTATATATAATTAATATATGTAATATAAATGTGTATATATATGTAATTTTTCCAGAGAGGATAGTTTTTCTGAGCAAGGAAGGGATATAGCATCCAGGAATCCAAGACTTACAATTTCCACCTCCTTGGACCAGAAAAGTGAAGTTCTTTACTCTTGAGAAACATTCTGGAGAAAGACTGTGATTAACCCATATTCAGTCATGTGCCCATGTTTGAGTCTACCACTGTGACCAGAGAGATATGAGTCCATTTATGACCATGAAGGTGAGGTACTGCTTATAAACTGGATAGTGGATGCTATGGTTTGATGTCCCCTAAAGGCCCATGTGTTAAGGAAGGGCTTCAGCCCCAGGATTTCACTATCAAGGAGGAAACAGAGCTTTGTAAAAAGTCCTTATGCCATTAGGGGTGAGTCTTCTAGGAGGGATTGTGAGATACCAACAAGCTAGTCTTCCTCTTTGCTTCTAGGTTCATGAAGTAAGCAGTCTTTCTCTGCCACATACTCCAACCAGGATGTGCTGCTTCCACAAGCATAAAGAATGAATCCAATTGATGAAGGACTGGAGCATCCAAATTGGAGACCTAAAATAATCCTTTTCTCTTTATAAATTAACTATCCCGGACATTTTAATGCAGTGAGATAGGAACATTTTTCCAAAAGAGAGGGATTCAATGTTAATAGAAGTGAGAGACATGGTAACATTGTTCATATATAAACATGGCCTATATATGAAATGTTACCTAAAAGTCTTACATGATCAGAGGTGGGGCTTTTAGAAAATAACTAGATTCTGGGATACTCTACTCATCAATAGATTGACCTGTTGATGAATTCAGTAGCTGAACTTGCTGTTCAGAGGTGGGGCCTCTTTGGAAGATGTTGGCCACTGTAAACATGGCCTAGAAGGGTGCATTCTTATTTCAGGTCCACCCC